GCATGTTGCCTCAGCCACTACAAAGTAGAGGTGGGCAGATCAATCCAAACATTGATAGTATCGACACCAACACTGGCAATTAAGAATAACCCCACTGTATCTCTAGACTATCTCTGAGACCTCCATCTTATCCAGCTAAAGGAAATGTTGGCCTAGATTGTTACATGTTCCTGAGCTCTTGTTTAATGAAGAGCTAAAATGCAGACTTTGCTTGGGCCAAGTCTCACTTTACTACTTTGACATGTAACATTTTAGTAATTTTACTATTGTAAATTCACTGTTGCACCTTATCTTGTTTGAGATCAGTAGTATGTTTTTAGTACTGTTATCTTACAGTTCTATTAATTGTGTCATATGCTTACTGTGTTAAATGTAACTCCAGTTTTTAAATTGTGTAATACTGAGAAAGTACAGATAATTAAAGAAGTATGTTTTAGTTTATTTAGTGTTTAGAACTGATATTTTAGATATGTTTAGTTAAAGTATAAGAATGTACAAAATGCATTTATCATTGGTAGATGTCTGTTTGTGGACCAACAAATATTTGTAAGTGTAATTTGAGATTACCAAGACTAATTCATATATTTCAAACATGTTCAAACAGCGGTTTAACAGATAATACATTTAATAAATATTAAAATGAAATAATTATACCTAAAAACACTCAACATAAAAAATGCACTGTTGTGCAATATTAACATGAGATAACTGTAAAGATTTCACAATAATGAAAAATAAAAATAACATAAAAATCATGTTATCAGCTGTAAAGTTATAAAACAAAGTTAATGTTTACTAAACACAAGTTTATTTTGTGCAACTGATCTACATCTTTCTTTCATTTTAATCCAACAGGTTATTTTTTTAGTATACAGCCTAGTAGTTTATGCTCTTGTTTAAGTTTCTATTGCTTCATTAATCTGCCCCAATACTACAGGGTTCTATAGTATTAAAAATGGTCTTAAGTTACTTTTTGAAATATGAATTTTCTATTAATAAAACAAATGATTTCAGCCAGTAAGTGAGCATTGCACACATATGTATGCACGTTTCCAAGCTAGCAGTAGCAGTTAAATTACCACTCCAATCTTGTTACAAATATAGCTTCTGCCTCAAACTAATATGGCAGTTAGTCAACTGCACTTGAGCTTCAGGGTATAAATTGATAGCTGGTCAGTCTTCTTCAGCATTTTTGTATAGTCAGCAGCATGTGAGTTTAGACTCTTTTTAGGGGCTGCTCAAGCACTCCTGAATTTTATCACAGCACCCTTACAAATAACTGCAGTAGCTGCAGTAGTACTAATGCATTTTAGTAAAATGTTCTAACATTGTCTTCTAATCGCCTAAATAAAAATCATAGAGAGGGATCAAGAAGTAATTTTATGACACAAATCAGTAATCCTGATTTAAAACACTTTAACTTAAACATAGAAAACATGCAGACTGCTCTGATAACGCAGGGACGTGGCTGTGACTTGCAAAATGTCTGTTTACTTTTATTTGTTCTTTAAATAGTGTTAACAATGTTAGCAAATGTAGCCTAAATCACTAGAGATTGTTAGCTAAATTTAGTTTTCTGAGCCATTAGTCTGCTGGAATATCTCTAATTGCAAGTAAAGGAGCTACTTTATATCTTTTTAGTTTGTTAAACATTTCCATTTCTATTCCAGTAAAATTGGGCTTCGGTGTTTATTAAACAATTCAAAAATAGGACACGATGATAATAATACCATAAACTCTGAAGTTCTTCTGCACATGATTACTGTTCAGTGAGTCGCCAGCAGGTATTAGGGACACATCATCTGTTGTGATCTTTAGCATCACTGTTCCAGTACAGCTCCAGTTCCAAGTAACAAGTTGAAAGGATGTTACCTGTCAATGTCCAGCAGCAGTCTGTATTCATTTCAAATATTGCTATAAATTGATCTGAATTAGTTTGTGCCTTCTATAGGTTTGTAAATTCTGTATCACTGTTACATTTAACATTTGGGTCTAAGCACAAAGTCTGAGAGAGGAGGACAGAGAGGGAGAGAGCAGGATGAAGACAGCACGTAGCAAAGGTCGGTAAACAGCTCCAGCTCAGTCAGATTAGATGGGCAGCGTTTGTGAACAGCAGTTTTCAGATCTTGCCACAGATTCTCGATTGGATTTAGATCTGGACTTTGACTGGGCCATTCTAACACATGGATATGTTTTGTTTTAAACCGTTCCATTGTTGCCCTGGCTTTATGTTTAGGGTCATTGTCCTGCTGGAAGCTGAACCTCCGCCCCAGTCTCAAGTCTTTTGCAGACTCCAAGAGGTGTTTCTTTCTCCAAGATTGCCCTGTATTTGGCTCCATCCATCTTCCCATCAACTCTGACCAGCTTGCCTGTCCCTGCTGAAGAGAAGCATCCCCAGAGCCTGATGCTGCCACCACCATATTTGACAGTGGGGATGGTGTGTTCAGAGTGATGTGCAGTGTTAGTTTTTCCGCCACACATAGCGTTTTGCATTTTGGCCACAAAGTTCCATTTTGGTCTCATCTGACCAGAGCACCTTCTTCCACATGTTTGCTGTGTCCCCCACATGGCTTAAGGCGAACTGCAAACGGGACTTTTTATGGTTTTCTGTTAACAATGGCTTTCTTCTTGCCACTCTTCCAAAAGGCCAACTTTGTGCAGTGCATGACTAATAGTTGTCCTATGGACAGATTCCCCCACCTGAGCTGTAGATCTCTGCAGCTCGTCCAGAGTCACCATGGGCCTCTTGGCTGCATTTCTGATTAGCGTTCTCCTTGTTCGGCCTGTGAGTTTAGGTGGACGGCCTTGTCTTGGTAGGTTTACAGTTGTGCCATACTCCTTCCATTTCTGAATGATCGCTTGAACAGTGCTCCGTGGGATGTTCAAGGCTTGGGAAATCTTTTTGTAGCCTAAGCTTTAAATTTCTCAAATAACTTTATCCCTGACCTGTCTGGTATGTTTTTGGACTTCATGGTGTTGTTATTCTCTTAGACAACCTCTGAGGCCGTCACAGAGCAGCTGTATTTGTACTGACATTAGATTACACACAGGTGCACTCTATTTAGTCATTAGCACTCATCAGGCAATGTCTATGGGCAACTGACTGCACTCAGACCAAAGGGGGCTGAATAATTACGCACACCCCACTTTGCAGTTATTTATTTGTAATGTTTGGAATCATGTATGATTTTCGTTCCACTTCCCACGTGTCTTTCACGTGGAATTCCAATAAAACTGATTGATTCATGTTTGTGCCTGTAATGTGACAAAATGTGGGAAAGTTCAAGGGGGCCGAATACTTTTGCAAGCCACTGTACATTGATATGAATAGTGTCACTCTAAACATGACGTAAACAGGATAGTTGCAACTGCGTTGATGTCACAGACTACAAATCTATTCTCAATTTGTGAATTTTGGGATACATGGTGATGCTCTGTACAGAGTTTGCACATTAAAAGGAGTATTTGTATGAATTAAAAGCAGTTCTCTTACCAATTTGCTTCTTTTCAAGGTGTATGGAGTGGCAGTGTGATTTTTCACTATTGTAACTGAATAATACTAATTTAAGTGCTTAATGATTTGTTCGATTGCTTCCAAACGATTAAAAGACTGAAAAAAAAATGCTGTGCAAGTTGTTCTTTAGTTTGAAAAATTCTGGTCAACATGATTGAGCCTTTTATCAGGATTGAAAGCTAAAGTGTCCACCATAAAACTCGTGCATTATATTGACGTCTGTGATTATTCATTATGAATTATTCTTAGACACTGCAATAGGTCAGTAAGTCTAGTATTTAACTTTATTTTAAATAAACAACAGAAGCATTTTTTGTTAAGTTTTTGGCTTACTTTTAATTCATTTTAATAATATTGCATAATCTTTGTGTTCCTTTGGGGTTGGCTAAAATCTCAAAGGTTCCTCTATGAAGGGCAAACTCAGATATCAAAACATTTTGTAAGAATTGAGCCAACATTCCATTACCATCTACTCCAGCGGTTCCCAAACTTTTCTTGCTGGGCCGCCCTTTGTTTTACAAGAAAAATGTTCGCGCCCCCCCCTTTAACCACACACACACCCATATTTTACTCAATCGGGGTTTATTTCACACCTCAAACATTTAGTAAATAATTAAGCAAATAAAAGTAATCTGCAATAAATTACAGGTAGTAATAAAATAAACTACTCTTTTATGCTACGTCCACACCTACACGGGTATTTTTGAAAACGCAGCTGTTTCGTCCACACGTAAACGGCGTTTCGAATCACCGAAAACGGAGATTTCTTAAAACTCCTTTTTTGCGTTTATGTGTGGACGAGGAACACAGAGTTCGTCACGCAATGTCAAAGGTATGTGCCTTTTTTTCACATTACGCTGTGCGCTACGTTATTGTTTACATGAGATGAATTGCAGAATGGCAGATAGAGACAAAATACTGTTAATATGACTGTCTTCAGGTTTTACACCTTACATATACACACGCAGTTACTGTCCCTCTATTTAGAAAGGCAGAGGCGTCACGGTGTGATTATTTTGCGTGTAGTTGTTTTTTTTCTGTGTAATAATTTTCAACATTGCAATCAAATCAAAAAATGCCTCTCTGTGCAAAATAGGTTCAAAAACATAAACAGCTGTGGGATACTGTTTGTCTGTGATTTAGACAGGGGGAACAAATTGTGGCAGGATCAGCCTGATGTTATTTGTATCCTGCTGTAACTTTACTGTATAACAAGCTAACATCTCCAAAATGTCAGGAGTAGTTAGTTATTACAAGTGTTTGTGAACTAAAAATAAAGAATGTGGGATACGGTTGTCCCGTGATTTGGAGAGCCCAGCGCGTGCTCCTGACGAAGGGAAAACCAGTTCTGATGAGGAGACCTACCTCGGCACTTGTGCAGGTGAAGCCAAAGGGCAGACATGCTTTTCTAGTCTTTGGCTTAGAATGAAGTTGGTTTGCAAACATATTCAGCGATGCTTCATCTGCTGCTTTGCGTTTGTGTGGGCGCCCCGCGCTAGCAGTGTCCAAGCCTTTTTTTTTCCTTCCCCTTTTCATACCTCGCCCCCCCTGCAATGGCTCTGTGCCCCCCCTAGGGGGCGGGCCCCACACTTTGGGAAGCTCTGATTTACTCAGTGTAGCAACCAGTCTGTTACATGACTAAGACTGGATGTATGATTCTTTGTGTGACAGGAAGGAAAATCTGTGTCTACATTAATATTTTTGAGAGTTGCCTTTTCCCCCCAAAGCTAACAGCTGATTCTTCCTGTCACTGATAGTAAATCATTCCAGCTGATCTGACCAGAAAAATAATAATTCAGACTCCAAAATAGTTTCAAATTGGCAACTTCAAGCAGGAATCAATCTAGCTTGCACAGCGAGCCTGACCCTAATAACACGGTAAGTAGTAATATTCAGTTTAGCAATATAAAACAGACAGTATGTACACGGCTATGTACTCACAGATATAGTAGTACTCATGTCCTGGCCTGAACTCGAAGCCCAGGCTAAAGGGTGTAAAGAGCTGAAACTTCTCAGAGAACTTGAGTGGCCCATTGGGGCTCTGTGGTCTGTTACATTCCCAGCGTTTAAAACCTTTTCTGTGGTGGTCGCAGGACATGTATCCGTCATAGTTCACCATGTACAACACATAATGCTCCATGTGCACGGCTGACTCCGCCGCCTCGTAGTGAGGACAGTAGATATCCAGGTAGTCATTGATTGCCACCTCCACTGTGTAATCACCCTGAAAAAACCTGAGGAAGAGAATACATTTGGTCATTTCTTTTTTATTTAAGAAGATAAGAACACAGAATCCAGAATACATGTTTATGTGACATGAATAATACGTGACTTACAGAGCTGTAACGGTGAAACTACAACCTGCAAGCCTCATTTAAGCGTTCAGTTAGACAGCAAACTTTATTTGTTTATTTACTGATTTAATCAACTTTTGGAGATTGTTTTGTGGGCTTGCATTTTAAAATCTGAACATTCTTTTAGATGTTCAGTATTAAATAGTTACAAATGTTTGTTCCATACACACATAAAAAAAACATTGAAATGGTTGTCTAAATCAGGCTCAGTAAACTGTGAGTTATAGTTAAGTGATTTTTTTTTTGTAAAATTTGCCATAAACAAGTCAACAAACAAAACAGACCACTCTTTTTTAGTCTAAATTTTCGATTAGTCTAAATTTTCATTTTCGAACTTTAATCTGTAACACAATGGGGACAGTCTGAAGATTTCAAAATCAACATATTTAGGGACAGTATTTTGAATACTCGAAATACTTTTACTGAGGATTTAAAAGTAACGTTTTAATAACTGTATCAGAACATTTTGTTATTAAACAGTGAGCAAACAAGTTTTTTTAATTAATAATTTTTTTTAAAAGAAAGGTAATATTTCATTTTTAAATTAAATATTTGGTTAAACAAATAACAAACCAATTAATTTGCTAATCATTCATGCTTCATTATTTCAGTATCCAATATAAAAACTTGAAAAAAAACCCCCAAAAAACATCCAGGTTTAGGTCCCTATCAGTGTCCTGGGAGACACCCAAGGCACTCTCGAGGAGAAATTATGTTGTTGACTGTATCAAAGAGAGCCTTAGGATTCATTTTCCTACTGCAAGTAGTTTAGAGAAATACAAGGCTCAATGCATTTTTTGCCATGCCATTAAAGATAGACAAGAGACAAGTGAAGTGTGGAGACCTGAGGGTTTTTTTGTGGTTTTTCACAGGTCATCAGTTTTATGGCAAATCCACCAAAAACTGTTGTTGGATTCAGTGATGCAAGGAGGAGATTTAATTCTTCCGCCTTGTCTACTCTGTCTACATTATACATGCTCCCCTACGGCATATGATACATTTTCACTGCTATGCAGATGACACCTAACTTTATCTATCCATGAAGCCAGATTAAAACAGCACCTAGTTAAACTGAATGAATGTCTTAAAGACATAAAGACCTGGATAACCTCTAACTTTCTGCTTTTATATTAAGATAAAACTGAGATTATTGTACTCTGCCCCAAAAATCTTAGAAATTTAGTTTCTAGTCAGATGCTTACCGTGGATAGCATTACCCTGGCCTCCAGTAACACTGTGAGGAATCTTGGAGTTGTTTTTGACCAGGATATGTCCTTTATATACATGTATTAAACAAATATGTAGGACTGCTTTCTTGAATTTGTCAACATCTCAAGAATTAGAAACATCCTGTCTTAAAAACTAGCTCATGCATTTATTACTTCTAGGCTGGACTACTGTAGTTCATTACTATCAGGGTGTCCTAAAAACGTCCTGAAAAGCCTTCAGTTGATCTTAGTTTTGCATTTCAGGCTACAGGCTTTTCTTGCTTTTAGTGAATAGGATCTATGCAGACTGAAGGAAAGTCTAGAGACACTGCTTCTTCTTTATCACTAAAAGAAACTAATGATTCAATGTAGATCTACTGTGCTGCAAAAAAACCCCAAGCCGTCACAAATCACATATTGATGATCACAGATCTTGTATTATTGTGGAGCTTGCAATATAAAGTGCGTTGAGGGAACTGTTGCTGTGATTTAGTGCTATATAAAAAAATTGAATTGAACTGAAATGATTCATTACCACAAACACGACTGCTTTTTTAATCTGTTACTTGTGTGATTTATTTAAATGGAGACAGAACAAAAGTAAATAGCAGAATAAGCTGTTTGGCATTGGCAAAGAAGATTTGGCAATTTTTTCAAGGGTGCAATCCACACACTCAACTCTATGGAAGCCCGTTTCCGCCAC